CCGGAGGATTCACTCATTTGGACAGGCTGTGTCCATGTGTTGATGTTGACGTGATTCATTTTGACGTGATCTCATTATTTCCTCCAGCTCTGTACGAACAGTCCTGCGAGGCGTACAAACACAACGGCAACACGTCGGGACATTTTTACATCGACGTGGATGGCAGCGGACCAATCAAACCGCAACTGGTGTACTGCAACATGACAGGTGACAAACACACACACATGATTACAATTTACATAATTGTAAATGATGATGCTCCACTCATCCCCCTCTGATCCACTTCCATCTTCTTGTCTCCAAGCTTCTCTCTCTTTCCCTCCTTTAATCTCTGTCCCACATTCATCTCCCTGTCTCTTTAAGTCGTGATGCTTTACAAATTTGGTATCATGATGATTGAGAACATTGTCAGTGCTCTGAATTATGTCCTTTTTGAGAGTTAAAGCGAAAGCTAAAATACCTTTGACCATCTAGTGTAATATTCTTCATAACAGCGGTTGTGTTTTCTTTTGTCCACAGAGGAGAACACATGGATGGTGATCCAGCACAACAACAGCGAGCTGACCAGAGTGCGACCGTCTCCAGAGGTGAACCAGCACTCAGTTCACTTTGACTACTCCACTGAAGAGGAGCAGCTATTGGCCGCCATCAGCCAATCAGAGTACTGCGAACAGGAACTGTCCTACCACTGCAGGAAGTCCCGCCTCCTCAACACTCCAGGTCAGGGGCTGTTTCTTTAGCTGACCCTAACATCCTGAATCTGATTTTCCTCACTTTTTCTAAGGGACCTGGCATTTTTAACTCTGTTGATGTGGAGTGATGAATACTGAGAGGCTTTCTCCATTTACCTTCAGTGGGGAAATAAGGAGCCGTAACTCAGACTAAACAAGGCCAATATGAATTATCATTGTTGAAGGTCTTTTCCATTTGGATTTGATTTACTGAGTCTGTAATCACCGAACCGCATGGATATTTGTTTAACTTCCCTTCTTTGCTGTCTTTCTCATTTTATCAAAGTGAGTTATGAGGTGTTTTGTACAAACAAAATCTCTAGAGAAAACAATCTAACTCCCTGGGGCCTCACACATCTTTCCCGCTCTACTAAACAAAAACAAAAAGATTCTTATGCTCGTTGCTGGATACGTAATCAGGTTCCTAGAATTTTCTTTCTTTTCACCAATGAGCCAGACAAATGGGTTTCGTATGAGTAGTTGAAATGTCTCCTCCTTTTAAATTGAGGCAAATTAAGTTCTCTGTGTCTCCATCAAGTTTACAAGTAATTAATTGACCATTATGCTGTGAAGAACAATGTTTACTTGTGGAAAACACTGCCATTAATTAAAATTAAAATGGATGGATGGAGGGTGTGTTTTACCTCCTTGGCATTTGATACTCTTAGAGCTAGATTAAAACATTTGTAAACCTTTATTTCTCCTGTAGGGTATATGCATTTGTGTAAACTTAATAAATAATAATAATAATAATATGAAGAACAGAATAATAATAAGATAAATGCACCTCAATCATCGAAAGTAAAGGTACTCGTTATGCAGAATTGGCCTCTTACAATATTATTTTATTATTGTTATCATATTATCCTATTTTTAAACATGTAAGAGCATTTTAGTTCTGTAGCGGATGTGTGGACTCAGTATTTGAAATAATACAGTAAGGTATTATACCATATCAGCATGTAATGTGTTTCTATATGTACAGGGTAACTGTGAGTGTTAAAATAAATATAGTGGAGTAAAAAAGTACGACATGCATCTCTAAAACATGAGAAGTAGACGTATGAAGTAGCTTTAAATAGAAATAAAAGTACAAATATGTCAAATTGTACTTGAGTAAAATACTTGAGTACTTTTCACCTGTGTGTGTGTGTGTGTGTGTGTGTGTGTGTGTGTGTGTGTGTGTGTGTGTGTGTGTGTGTGTGTGTGTGTGTGTGTGTGTGTGTGTGTGTGTGTGTGTGTGTGTGTGTGTTTCAGAGGGCTCTCCGTTCAGCTGGTGGCTCGGGGGTCCCGCTCCCGGTCGTGTTCAGTCTTATTGGGGGGGGGCTCAGCCGGGCAGCCAGCAGTGTGTGTGCGGGCTGCAGGGAGACTGTGTGGACCCTCAGCACTACTGCAACTGTGATGCTGACCGCACCGAGTGGTACTGAGACACAGCAATACTTACAGACGTGGTTATTAATACTGAAATGTTCCTACTCCCCCTCTCTATAATAACTCACCTTTGTTCTGTTTCTTCATCCTCTCCTTTTTTATCTCTCCTTATTGTTCTAACCTTTGCCTCCTGATCTCAATACAATACAATACAAAGGGGCTTTATTGGCATGACCACATTTTAAACATAGAATTGCCAAAGGATTCCGCACAAGGCGTTAACACTAATGCAACTGTGACGCCGGCCGCACCGAGTGGTACTGAAACACATATTGTATGGTGAAAAGGCTTGTCCTGGATATCTAAAATCATCACATTGTATTTATATAGCCCAGTTTTACGTATTACACATTTGTCTTAGGGGGCTTTACAGACCTTCAGCATGCGACACCCTCTGTCCTTAGACGATTGCAAAAAACATTGCAAAATAAACCCCATAATTAATGGAAAACAATTGTAAATAACTCAGGAAGAACGACATTGATTGATATAAACGTACTGCTTTATCAAACAGTAAAGTATATATTAATGCAGTCGTTGACCGTTAAATCTGTGGTGGTGTAATTTCTCTAATGTTCTGCTTAAATGCTGGGACAACATGATGATTACTAACTTGTAAAACAATGGACAGCTTAGTGAAGCAATGTGTTCATTAAACCAGCTTTTTCCACAAATTATTAAAAAAAGAATCTGACCTTTAGTTTGATATTACCTTTTTGTTCCTTGCTGGTGTCTTTGTATTAAAAAACTGTTGAAAATAGATACATCGTTTTTCGATTTGAGATAAGATGGCATTCAAATCAGGAAAAAAAAATAGTTGTATGAAACGTAATGAAACTAGCTGGAAACGCATAGATGGACACATTTAGGGTTTTTAAATGTCATTGTAACTCCATGATTCTATATTTTCTGCTCATGCTAACTTTCTGCTTAATATAGGACAATACATTTCTGATTGTACTCCTACTGTTGATTTATTTGTCTTGAATAGTAAACATGAGTGCTAAAGGCGCCTGCTGGTTTACAGTCATCAACATTCTGCAGGGAAGCAAACAATAAATTGACTGGGATCATTTGAGCAGAGCACAATCAAAACAACTTTTAACCTCTCCTCATGTCATCTTGGCTTTTTCCTCACATATCATTTCCCAGCACAAACAGTTTACTTCTATTTTAACAGAGCGGATCGGCAGCTCTTTAATATTTCATCGCATAGAGCTGTAAACTCTCCTCGCTTCCAGCCCTGCGTGTATTTTTATACAAAACTTTCCTCAGCAACAAGGCAAGCGGGCGGTGATCTTGAGTGTGTGAAGCTGCGTGTGGGTGCAAATGGACGGAAGGTGTCTTGTTTTTGGAGTAGCTGTTCCAGAAAAGGCAGAGGATTGAATGTCAGGAAGGCTATTATTATGTTTTCACACAGCAATGTTTACAGCAGGCAGTAAAACATGCAATCATCCAGAATCGAATACTGCAATATCACCCTTTATGCCATAAAGTGTATGGCACATTATTCAAACTCGTAACCCTCTCTACCCAAACACATCTGCACCCATATGTCCAAGTTTAGATAAACATTTCCTGTTTCTGGTGATTTGAATGTGGAATTAACTCTTTTGTGTATTCAAAGTGTGTTTCTTTATTATCTTTTATTAACTTTTACCTGTACATGTCAAGTCTTTGAGTACCATGAACCATGTATTTTAACAAACTCTTACACTACAGATTTAACAAATGTAGGACTTTGAGGATCAACATTTATTAGAAGCTTAAGTCTCCATGAAATGCCCATGTGAATATTAATGATAATAATTAGAAGAAGAAGAATGTAATACGTATTTAGCTTTTTCATAGTTATTATTATTACTATTATTGTTATTAATATTGTAACTACCAGTGGCGGGCGGCTGGTGGAAAATATTTTAGGTGGGGCTGTGGAAATGGTGACCAAACAATGCTAGGGGGGTCTGGGGGTAAATCTTTTTGAGGAAAGACCCCTTAAATTATGACTTCTGGTGATGTTAGAGGGGGGGGGGCAAATTGAGGCTTAAAAATATGAGAGGACTGACCAATACCTCCATAATCTTCAATGTGGTTAGCTGTGAATCTTCCAAAACTTCCAAACACCTTGTCCTGGACATAGTTTCTACAGTATAAACTGTGCAACA